CCATTTGAACACTTCTCTGTGAGAATGGACTTTATTTTAATGTCGCACAAAAGTAACTTTTCAAAGATAAAATAATGATTTTTTCCTGATAAAAAAAATTTGTCTTAAATTATCAGTTTTAAAAATAGTTAGAAAATAGCTATAAGATAGTAAACATAATTTAAAACATAAATCAGTTGGTCGTATTAGACTCTATTTATGTCATTATACAAATCATCGATTTTTTCTTTTTCTTCAGAACAAATGTCTAATAAATACGCTTCGGAATTGTTATCAACAAAACGATTATTGCAACCTAAGCACTGATGGAGCTTTAACAATCTTCGAGAACATTAACCTGCAAAAATATAAACAATATTTACATTATCATCTGTAATAAGTGAATAAGGATGATTATCATTAAAATTGGATTTTAGTTTTTGGAACTTCATGATATCATTTTCATCCAACTAAGCACCTATATTTAATAAATCCTTCATATTTTAAAGATCTTTTTTCCAAACTCCTGAATATTTGCAAAGACTTTTAACTCGAATTTTTTTCTCAGCATCTAAAACTTGTTTTACTTTAATGTAATAGTTTCCACTAAACAGCTGCCTATAATGACCAAACCTTTGTTCAATAGGATCGGATTGGAGCTTTCCTAAAAGGATATAACTCACATCATACTTTTTGGATAAAATATGCTCACTAAATTCTTTAAGGCATTCATACATTTGTATGAAAGCTAAATTAGTTAGGTAGGATAAGCCTGTATTAGGAACTTTTAAGCGATTGCATTGATTAAGAATTTTTCAAAATAATTAAGTTTTGGTCTAATGGGTCTCGAATCGGTTTCATAAGCATGTCTCGTTTATGTGAACTAATAACTGGAGATTTCACTTTAACAACTTTTCGAACTTCCACAAACCTTTCTATTAAATAATGAGTAGCATTTCAAGTAGTTTTCCATTCTTATAATAAAACTTCAAGGCACATGAAGTTTTTTAATGGAAAATTTTAAAACATAACTTCACTGATGTTCTTCGAAGATTCGTCGGCCGAAAACATTGTTTGGATAAGTGATGGGCAACTTTTAAAGGGTTTTTACTATCATACTGAAAAAATCTGTAAAATGTCATTAAAATCTGCTTTGATATATTTTAAACTAGAAGGTGATATTAAAACTTGTAATTGATTATCCAATAACTCTTGGTATACATGATATTGGAATAGGAAATATTTTACAACTTTCAAAATTATTAAAAGCATTTTTGAAGTTGCGAGTAGGATTAAAATAAAGAGTTTCTTGTTGTTTAATATTGGATGATTAATAAAAGGAGTCAATTTTCCTGAACACAACTCATTCATGAAAAATTTTTGATTGACAACATGATTGTTACTTGTTGTAATTATTACATGAAATCCAATCATACTAAGCATTTACTGGACCTGAAATCAACATTTCTTTAAGATGGGAACATTTATTGTAGAAAGAGGAAAAAGGCAAACAGTATCCATAGAATTTCCAACAACTGAAGTGGTTAAAAAATACTAAAATGGTTGTTGCTAACTTCTCTGTTTCATCAACAATACCCAAAAACCTTCCATCTGCATACTCAACTTCTTGATTAATATAAATTTCATCAAATATTAAATTTACAATTTTTTCTTTATTGGTCAAAGATTGTATTCTTTTTTCAAGATAAACTTTACGCATTTACATCGCGTAGCATCTTTTACTACTTGTATACCACAGCAAACAAGTAACAAGAAGATTATTGTTGTATCTTTTACTTAGGCATGGTTTTTCCAATATAAGCAGCTGGTCACATATAAAGTTGAGCTTTGTAGGAATTTCTTCAGTGCAATCACATATTATAAACATTTTGTTGCATCAAAATTGTAAACAAGCTAAAAATTCCGGGAATAGGCAGTGAACATGTCTATTTTAAGTTTTGCATCAAAATTGTAAACCAGCCGAAAATTTTGGGAATAAGCAGTGAACATGTTTGTTTTAAGTTTTGCATCAAAATTGTAAACAAGCTAAAAATTCCGGGAATTGGCAGTGAACATGTTTATTTAAAGTGTTTCACTTATCAGTTGTGTGAGAAAAATTTTAAAATGCCAAATTTTTCAAAAAATCATGAAGATTGTCGGAAATCTGTCTGTGTCTTGTGTCTGAAGAAGTGCTCTCGAGAGTTGACACAGTTCCTTGTTGAAAAGATCCTCAAGCATTACCATACAAGTCTTGATTTGACTGATACCAGAGTGCCAAGAGGCATTCGTGACTCATGTCGAACAATTCTTCGGAGAAAAGACGATGGAAAAGATGTTAACCTGCCACCTTTGTTTCCTTTCTCATCTATAAAAGTTAGACCACCAATTAGAGATCAAGGTTGCAACTGTCTTATTTGTCAAGTTGGACATTTGAAGTTGAATGAGAAGAGCCCAGTGGACTATTCTAAACCTGTGGAAGATTGTACCCCTCAAAGATGTGGTGATTGTTTGAGTCTAGTTGGAAGAGGTCTGCCACATCAGTGCACTCCATTCACTTTTAGAGAGAATCTCAAGCAGCTAGCTACAGCTGATCCACTCGCTGCAGAGCAAATAGCTACTCAAGTCATCTCTACTAAACCTTCCACACCTGGTGATACTGTCAAAATATCGCATCCTAAAGGCGGCCCACCACTTAGAGTTAAAACAGGTGATACTTTTATATATACATATAAAGATGGCAGGTTCAGAGGGAATACCTTTAATTTTAAAACTTAAAATTACAAAAAGTGTTAATATAATTTCATTTTTAGGAAGCTCTGTGATTGTGGAAACTAGTTTTCTTGCTAAGTTTGAAGCCATTGGCAAACAGTTGTCTGAGTTTTTTACTCAAACCAGCATCCAAGTTTTATCAGAGAGTAACTCCACTGACTTTGTGGTTGTGCATTGCAAGGATCTTGCCGAGCTTTTGAATGAAGTCCTGCTTTCTCGAAGAGTTTTCCAGAATCATATTGTCAAGTTGGGAATTGATGGAGGTGGAGGATTTCTGAAAGTTTCTCTTGGCATCATGGAGTTGGATTCTCACTGTGATTCAAGGTCACCACCACAGAAAAAACTTTTAACTCAGAAAACTGCCAAAGACAGTAGTGTAAAGCGTCAAATGCTTGTGGCTTTATCAGAAGGACTACCAGAAAACTTTGAAAATGTGAGACAGATCTTGTCTTTAATCAAGTTAGACTAAGTCAACTTTGTTGTCTCATGCGACATGAAACTTGCCAACACAGAATCAAAGCATCTTTCTCAATCAGGATCTTTGAGGACACTAGGCTCACTTGTTACCTGTTATCAAGAGTTTGCTAAGTCTGGTGGTGATATCAAAAAGGCAAAATCTTTTGGCAATGTAGTGCATGAGCCTTTGCTATCTGGTTCTGAAAACAAACTCATCTTGGAGCTCATACCACCAATGGAACTCCATCTTCTCCTTGGTGTGGTCAATCACATGTACAAAGCCATGACAGAAGTTTGGCCCAATGTTGTCAAGTGGCCCTCAGCTCTCCACATTCAACAAGAACCATACCATGGTGGGCAGTTTGCAGGGAATGCCTGTCACAAGCTTCTCAGCAATCTTGACCTCCTTCAAAGAATTGCAGAGACTGAGTCTGCTTTTCAAGTCTTTGGAATCATTGATGCCCTTCGAAAGTTTAAGTCTGTGGTGACAGCATGTTTTGGTATGGTTCTGGAGGATGACTTTTTTGAAAAAATTGATCGCTTCAGAGACTTATATTTGGCAATCATGAACATCAGTGTGACTCCAAAAGTTCATGCTGTTTTCTTCCATGTGAAAAAGTTCATTGAGATCAAAAGGGCTCCCTTGGGGATCTTTAGTGAGCAGGCAACAGAATCAATGCATCATAATTTCAGCTTACATTGGCAGAGATACAAAAGAGACCGCAATCATCCTGAGTATGCAAAGAGGCTTTTTTCATGTGTTGTGGACTACAACAGCAAGCATTTGTGAAGAATCAAATATTGAGAAGAATTTATTTTATGTACCATTTGCTCTTTATGTGTTTAGAATCAAGAGGTTGTTTTTGTGTTTTGGCTTAGAATAACTAAAAGAATTATTTAAGAAAGTGTTTATTATTTCCATCTTGTTAATGAAAAACTATATCAGTTGTGTCAGAATAAACTATTATTCAAGTGAATTTTAGACAGTTATGTTTTGAAGTAATAAATGCTTATTTTGAAGAGTTTTTGAATGCTGTAAAAATGGAAAATTTGTAAAGCTGTCATTTTGCCCTATTGTGCAAAGTACTTAAAACTAAAAATCAAATGTATTTTCTCGGACGAACTAGTTAGATTTCAAATTTTACATTTTTGGAGTCAGGAAACATTGTAGTTTCACCCTGTTAAAGCGGTTTTCTTGGGTCAGCTCAAAGTAGTTTTTGGTCATTTTTTACAACAGTGAAGCATGTCGCAAACTCAGGTTGCAAAAATACACGAAGTTTGGTGATATTACGACATAAAAAATCTAAATTTTTGGCGTACATACTTTATGGACGACTTCTAACTAGTTTAATACACTTCCAGATCGCGAAAAAAATGCAGGGCTCAATCATTTAATATCAACACTCCATTCCGCAATTAGGATTGAAAAATATCAAGGCAAAAAAAAAAAAAAAAAAGAAAAAAAAAGCAAGATAAAAGTGTAACTTTGGTTATAAACATAACAAAATGCATATATTAATTGTATTTTTAAAAAGTACTGAAGAAATAAATTCTTCAATTATTTACATATTTATAAATAATTTGCAACTGCTACATTGCTTTTATTACAATTAAAACGTTGATCAAAATGAAATATAGTATAAAAAACAATATTATGCAATCCGTATAAGCAACAATATTTATAAATACAAAATGTTATGTATATATTCTTATATACAACATTTAAACTATGTTCATATATGAAACGTTTAAATATGTAACGATATTCAAATACGAACAAAATTGAAATACACAAATTTTTCATATATGCAGCAATTATTTTCATATATGCAATAATATCAAAGAACAAAGTAGAAAGTTCGATCTTTTTAAAATAATTTTTCTTTCAACAGTCTTTCAATAATTAAGCTAATATTTATAAAAAACGTACAAATCTTTTCTGTTGCTAATAACCTTCATTCGTGTAAGATATTTTAGTATAATGAGGAAATTTTAACTTCAAGAGTTCAACAGCAATAGAGTGGTCAGCTCTACCAAATCCCTAAAACAAAAAGTTAATAACTTTATATAAATAAACAATTTTATAAAAATAAACTTTTTCTTTTTACCGTGTTGTTACAATAGGCCGGGTGAAAAAAAAATGAGCAATTGCTTTTAATTAGTAATTGGTCAGCTTTATGTGAATAAAAACTATCAATTTTACTCAAATTTTTAGTCACGTGAAGCTAAGCAATTTACTCAGTAATTGGTCAGATTTACGCGAATAAAAACTTTAAGAAAAATCATAAAATTTTTATTTACATAAAGCTAACCAATTTCTGAGTAAAAGCAATAGCTCATTTTTATTCACCCGACCTTAATATTCTTACAAGTCAAATAAACAATTTGTCTATATGAGTTAGTTTTTTTATAAGCTAAAATCTATAAATTATTTCAGCTAAAACTTATAAATTATTTCAGCTAAAACTTATAAATTTTTAAGTTTGTCACTCTCACTTGTCAAATTGTAAAGGAATAACACACAGGTGTTTTATTAAAACAAACTTATTAGAACACACTTCTTAAATTAAATTATTAGAACACACTTCTTTGTCTTAAATTTACTTTAGTGAAAAGTAAACTTAATACACAGAACATAAATTAATTTTACTAATTTATGTTCTATAGATCTTTTTTGGTACACATTCTATTTACATTAACACAGTAAGAAAATTCATTAAAAATAAGTGTAATGATAAAAGCACATATTACAACCAACAACTTTTTATAAACATATCAAGAAAATGCAAACATTGTATCAACATAAAATGTAATCAACAAAAAACACAGGTAACTCTTTTCTACAAGTAACTACTTTGCGATCTTGTGAATCCTTTCGTCCAGTGTACTCCAGCAAGATCTGACAAAGATGTTTCAATTTTAATACCAAGATTCAAACCATAGTCATAGGACAAATTTGCACTTGTAAATTTGCTTAAGATTTTTATTTTGAATTGCATCTAAGTAACGAAACTTTCAATAGTTAATAAAAATTCCAAACTTTGAACGCTTGAAAATAAAATAGCTTTGCATCAAATATAATTAAACATAACTAAACATCTTCACTGATATCTTTGATTCCATTAAATTTTTATTAAACTTTATTTATTAAAAATATCGAAGGTTGCTAAAAGAAAGTAGATTTATAACAGAAAAAGACTCAATAGTAAAAGAACTCGACAAAGAAGAACTATTTGTATCTATATCAAAGAAATATGGCATTCAAAAGCAAACATTGTCGGAATAGTCAAAAGGAAAAAATACAATATATTCAGATCAAAAATAATAAAACTTGTTGTGAAAAGAGTGAGGGTGTGAGTCTTCCTAAATAAGGATTTGGATAAAGAATGTTAAAAGTGGCTTTTAAACACCCGACAACAAAACATTTCTGTGTCATTCTGCGTCGATAAGTTTCAAAATCTTAATGAGTCAGACAAGTTTCAATTAGTCTGACATAAGGAGAGAGCTTCACTTAATTCTGACATTGGCTAAGTTGGACAATATATATTTATTGGCAAATATAAAAAAATGCAATTATAAAAAAAAATTTCAAAAATATTGACATTCACCTTGTGCTCAAGTGGCAAAATATCCCAAAAAATGTCCCAAATTGTTCCAAAATTATTTGGCTTTGAGCACAAGGTAAATCTCAAAATTTTATAAAAAATTTTTTTAATGTAATAATAATGGTCAAAATATATATTTTTGATTATTGTGTATCCTGGTTTTTGCATAATTGTTTGTTTAAATTAAAAATTTCCGCATAATTTATGCAAAAAAAAAAACAAAAAAAAAGTTTTTTTTGTGTATTTGTACATTATTTTTGCAACGTATTTTTTTTGTATTTGCTCCAAATTTGGCTTCTAGTGTATTTGTGTTTTGAAATTTTTTTTTTGAAAACTCTTAATATATATATATATATATATATATATATATATATATATATATATATATATATATATATATATATATATATATATATATATATATATATATATATATATATATATATATATATATATACACACACCCCTTTCAAAGTCAGAGTTAATGGAATGCTACTGTTATTATCAGCTATTATGGCTAAAATAAAGTAAATCAGGAGTTAAAAAGTTTGAAATGAAAGTTCATTCCAACATGATCTGCAGATTATAAAAAAGTTTTGCTTTTGTTTTTTTTTTGTCATAAATGTTCTTTGTATTAAATGTAAGCTGTTTAAAAGTTTCAGTTGAATGTTTTTAAAAAAGATTATTTAAATCATTTTTAAATTTTTTTGAGGTTTCTTGTGGACTCTCGCAGATTTTACTGAAACATTTTGATTTTGTGTATATATATTTTTTTGTAATTCACCTCCCCAAGGCCAAGAAGGCCACTACAGATGAGGAGGCAACTTGTAGTTATAACCCTCTCTCAACTTTATAACTCTGAAACACAAACCCTGATGAACAAGGTCGCTGGGCGGAGAAACAAGTTGAGCGTGGTACTACCAGGGAAGTGGTGAGAATGGAACTCAGAACCTCTCGCTTATGAAGCAAGCGCTCTACCACTACCGTATATATATATATATATATATATATATATATATATATATATATATATATATATATATATATATATATATATATATATATATATATATATATATATATATATATATATATATATATATATATGAGATAAACATGTTTTGAAAATTTCAGATCAATATCTAATACAGTTCTTGAGAAAACACTATTTAAGTGACTGTCTATTTTGCATTAAATTTCACTTTTCAAGCAAAAAAGTTTTTTTCATCATTTTTAACAATTAATAACTTTTGAATTTTGAAGTTGATATATACTCAAACTATTTTAAAAAACCAAAAATGCTATGGATATTTTAAGTAAAATAAAAAAATTTAAACCTGGCATTTTAGCTTTCTTATTATGGCGGGCTGAAAATATTTTTGTTTTGGAATTAAATTTTTTTGTGATTTTGAAGAGCCTTATCATAAAAACTAGATTATAAATTAATACATTAATCCCTGATGCAAAACAATTGTTATCTTAGATGATTATCTTTTTTTCTCTTTCAGATTTCTTACACACATCGATTGAAGAGTGCTTATGGGCTCATTAATATAAACCAAAAAAATTAGTGGGCACATATTTAAAAAAAAATTAGTGGGCACATATTTATAATCCCAAAAGATAGTCTGTAAGATCTAGGTAAATTTTCAATATAAGGTAATCGAATTAGTTCAAAACTAATTAAAATTATTTATAAAAATAAAAACATATCTTATCTCATTTATATGTCGAAAATGAAATGGTGCATTAAGAACCACATAAAATTTTATTCCGTATGACAATATGGAACAAAATTTTATGAGGTTGCATATAGAATCATTCATTGCAATAGAATGATTCTATATACAATCCAGAACTTTTTAAAAAGTTTGTAGTCATAACATAAATAATTTTTTTAGCAAAAAAGTTAAGCCTGTACTTATTAATTAAAAAAACTTTATCAAGAAAAAAGTTGACTTGATCTCATTAAATTCAAGGATTGAGAAAAAGCTACCAGATAGTACTTGCTAATGAAAATATTTAGATAACCAACAAAAAAATGAATTAAGCTTTATTTCACTCATACACAAAAGCGTAACATACACATAGTATTTTTAATATTAAGTTTTTATTTTACAAAATGGAATAAAATGAAACTTACAAGAATAAAACTGCAAACAAGATTTGTTTTTATATTACTTTGATATTAATTTATAATAGTTTAGCTTGTGTATTTATTTAACGTTTAACTAGTGCTTTTTTTTTAACATTTAACTTTGTATTTTTTATCTTCAAAGAAATCTTTATAATTTGAGATTCCTTCCAAGATTTGAAAGTCTATGCAAAAACAATCAAAAGTATTACAGCCAGTGTATTGTCTTAAAAATATTAAAATTTACAATTTACAAATACCAGTGCAAGATTAAAATTTTTATTTTTTAACTTTTTTTTTTTCTTTTTAATTTTATGTCATATATTTGCAAGTAAAAAAAAAATCATTTTGAATTGTATCCTTAATATTTCAAAATTGTTGAAGTAAAAACTATTCATTTTGAAAATTCTAATTTTTCCTTTCAAAATCATAAAAAAAAAAGATAAATGATTTCAAGATAAATGAAAGAAAAATAAATGGAAAGAAAGATAAATGGCTACAAGATCATGAAAAGGTGAATGATTTTAAGATAAGAAAGATATATGATTACAAAATCATGGTAAGGTGAATGATTTCAAAATATAAAAAACTGAATGATTTCAAAATCATAAAAAGATGAGCCATTTGAAGACAACAATGATCAACTATGCTTATTTAACAACAAAGAATTGTTATTAGAGCATAAGAAAATGTAAAATTCTAAAACGTAAGTGACAATTGCTTTTATCTTTGATTATTCGATATCAAAGAGAAAAATAAATAAAAATATATATATTAAAACACATTTTTAGCATTTTTTACAACTTAAAAAACAGATTTAGTAAAACGCAAAATCTCTATAGTTTGAACTATTTTTAATTTCAAACTTTCTAACTTTTCCACTTAAAAACTATTAAATTAGTTCTTAAATGAAATGTTTTGCTGTGAATGAAAAATTTTATTAAATTCTCAAATGAAATGTTTTGTTATGTTGTGACTAAAAAATATAATTTATTAAACAAAATCATACCACAGAATATCCATATACTAAAATCATTTTTTTATCTTTATCATGATCAATACGACCTCCGCCTAAACATTCAGTATGAATACCAAGTTCAGCAAAACTTTGTTCCTCCTTTTCGTAAATATCAGCTAAACAAAATAAAAATAAATAATAACATCAGTAAAAAAAATAGCACTTATTATAATGAAAATATAGTAATAATAACAATAATTGTGATGAAGAGTTAACTGATAAAAATATTTCAGTTTTTTAATAACAAAACAGAAAAGAGATAAAATAAGTAGAAGCTCAGAGTTGAACTTTAAATTTTGAGATTTAATAGATTTTAGTTGGGAAAGGATGTTCCATGTTTTTATGCTTTTATGTTGTATAAATTTGTAAAATTTAAGAACTTTAGATAAAAAATTAATTATGTTAGAGTTTGAATTAGTATTTTAGAAATAGATTAATTTCAGAGCTTTATGTTGAAGATAAGTTAGTCTTAAAAAGCAAGCTGCTTAAATTGCCATTAAACTTATCTGAAAGTGAAAAATAGCATGATATATATTAGACAAAATTTGAATCAAAAATCATCATGATTTAGCATAATGATGGATTTTAGCTGACATACTGTTCAATCTGTTTAATTTCAATGCTAAGACTAGAAGATGCGATGCAAAAGATAACTTAGAATCTGTTTTGAATTTAGAGATATTTAATAGAGTTAACTAGATTAATGTGGTGGTGGTGTAGTGGTAGAGCGCTTGCCTCATAAGCAAAAAATATCAAGTTCAATTTTCACCACATCTTGGTAGTACTGCGCTTAACTTGTTACTTAACACACATTTAGTGTATCAGAATTACTTTGGTTATCTTAAAAGCTGGAAAAATATCATTTTTGAAAGAATTATGTATCATAGTACATAGAGGTTTGGAGATTATGTGAGATACCAGCTTTAGAAGAAACATTGGTAGACTAATGCGTTTAAGACTTTTATTATATTTTTTATGGTATTTTAAGAAAAAATGCCAAAAACAAATTTAGAAGGAACAATTTTGTTAATTAGTTTGTCTCGATTTTGTTGCAAAATAATTATGAAATATATTAGCAACACTGATATAATCTGGAATGACATTTTCATTGATTTTGAGACTAAAAGACTTAGTATAAGTCTTTTAGTCTCAAGAAGATGTTTATGATTTCTTTATTTCCTTTCCTAGTATTCTTTACATTAGTAAGGTTGTTATTAAAAAATAGGTATTGATTGATTTTTTGAATTTCTTTTCAGTAATCTAGCAAATGATGACACTTTTTGATCTAGTTAATTTTTTTATAAAGTATGCTTTTAGCATACACTAAATAAATGAGCTTTGCAAATGATGCAGAGTTTAGCAGAACATTTCTGTTGACTAGCTTAACATCCACATCTAATAGACTAGCTAAGTGTAAATGTATTACACTGTTTTTGCCTAAGATAATGAAAGCGAAACCTTCTTGACACCATTCATAGATTTTTGCTTGCAATTCTTTAATACTGGCTATACAACTTATTTTGTTTTTTCCTAATGAAAGATTTGAAACTCAGTTTAATGGTTCTAAATCCAATTGGTAGTGAAGTTATCTAAAGTAGCTATCCAAGCAACTGATTCTATCAACAGCTGTAAAATATCAGAGTATTAAGAGTGTTAATTTGCTCATAGAAAGTTTCTGTTGTAGTACTTTTGATGTGTTTTGTTGAAAGGGCCTATTTTTACAACTCTGGATTAATTAACAAGAATTAGATACGTGTATAGCTTATTGATATTGCTAAATACTTTGTTTAAATATCAGACATAAAAAATAGTTTGAAAAACAAGTTGCTTTAACCTATTTTTTTTTTCGAATTGTTATCTAAGTAAGTTAATTGTTATCAAAGTAAGGTTTTCAAGTAAGTTTTTATTTAATTTTATTTATAATGATTCTTCAACAGATATTTTTTATATTAAAATTACTGATTAGAAAATTTCACAAAAAATTTTATTTATTTGCTTTTGATGAACTTTTTGTAGGCTGCTACTGTCTACAAAATATTTATTAAAACTTAGTCATTGTAGTCACTGTCAAGCCACTGTAGCTAACAAATTGTAATTTTAAACAAATGATAAATAAAACTTACAGCGTAGGTTTTATTTTTTAAAATAAACCATTAGTTAAAGATAGATGGCTGGTTAAGACCAGGTATGCGTAAAAAGTTTTAACAGTTTTAATTTATATTATACTAAAAATTTAGGATAATCAAAAGTTCCTAGGAAGATGTAGCTCCAGGCGAACTTTTAAACTTGTGGTTGTGTTTATACGTAATTTTGTGAGAGGCTTTATTAGAAACAGACGAGTAAAAATAAGTGATAAGTTAGTTTTTATCTTACCATGATATTCAGCCCAATGAAAACCACGCACAACAATTTTTTTGTTGCTTCCTTCGCGTAGTTGTATTAAAATATATTTAAATTTTCCATGATCATCTATAACAACATCTTCTACGTTACCAAGTTTAGACGAGGTTGATTCAGGCACCATTTTTAGCTGACAATTAAGGGGGCAGTTATTCAGGCGGAATAAGGTTCACGTGGCGCACATAGCTCAGTCGCATTGAGGTACATTGAAATAGGACTCCCAGTAGTTTTTTAAACGTTCTTTGGACGTTTTTGTTAGGTTTAAACCTGATAAAAACCTCTAAAAAAAGTTTTAAAAACGTACTGTGTCCACTGGGAATACAATTTTTTTTAATTTTAACTTTTAAAATATTTTTCTAATGTTAACTTTTAAAATATTTTTCTAATGTTAACTTTTAAAATATTTATTTAAGAAATTAAGTAAGAAATTTATTTAATAAAATTAAGTAAGAAATTTATTTAAGAAATTAAGTAAGAATTTAAAAAAGATTATTTAAATTTTTCTTTTTTAGGAGGAGAATTTCAGGGTTAAAAATGCATGCTTTTGATAATTTTTTTAATTGGTAATGATAATTGGTAACTTCTACATTATACTCATATATTTTCAATTATATAATATTAAGATATTAAATTAATTAAAAACCAAGAAAACAAAAAAAAAAAAAAAAATTTATGCATAAAAGATTTTTCTTGTTTAATTCATATTATATATTAATATATATTAATAGTAATATATATTAATAGCATAGATTAATGGTACCTTTAATGTAAACCTTTGTTATTTAAATAACAAAGGTTTATATTAAATCTATTTAATGCAAACCTTTATTTTTTTAATAACTTTAAATCTTTGTTTCTTATAACTATAAATTTATTGTTATAAAAAACAAAGATTTAAAGTCATAAAAAAAAAAAAAAGGTTTTCATTAAATAGATTTAATGTAAACCTTTGTTATTTATAGTTATAAAAAACAAATTTATATAATAAATAAACATATTTTAATGTTAAAACAAAGAAAACTATCGTTCTAAAACACTTTATACCGGTCAACTAAATTAATCCGGAAAAGAAAAAAAACTCTGATTTTCTAAATATTTAAATTTTTATTTTAAATATGCACAAAATTAAATACATAATGTTCCGTATAAAAATTATTTCAAAATATTTAATAAAACAATTTTCTCGGATTAATAACCTATTTCCTTTAGCAAAAAGGTCAAAACAAAAGGTCTTATATTAATTTTTTTAGTAATTTGCAATCAACATGCATACATAAATCATGGCTCCCGGCATTGCGGGGGCCGCGGGGGTTGTGGCTCCAGCAGTTTTACAGCAATAACTTTTGAAAATTATTATCTACAAAAAACGAGTTTCATAGAACACTTTTATAAAATCACAGATTTTGGCCCCCGCAGATTTTTATGTGTTCAGGGAGCCATGTAAAAAGAATGTTTATTTTATAACGCACTTGATCAATTTTTTGTACCCTTTAAGGCGCCTCAAAGTCAAAAAGTTGTTAAATCATATGCTAAAAACGTGAAATATCTGAATTTATTGCGAATACAGCTGTGACATTTAGAAATTATCTAAAATTTCAAATTTAATAAATTTTTTTATTAATTTTTTTTAACTTTTTTACAATTTTCCATTAAAAAAAAAACTTCAGTACTGGATTTTAGTGCTTTTAGTACCACTGTACTAGAAGTACTGAAATGCAGTACTGGAGTTTTTCTTTCTTTTTTTTATTTTATCCCACGATGTATTGTGGGATAAAACTAACTTAAAAGTATACTTTAATATTTTAACCAACACTTAATAAAAAGTTTATTAGTCCGAAATTGCTTTCCTTCCCCAGTTGCTGCAAGATCGTATTCCGCAAAAAAGATCAAACCATATAATTTAAATTAGAATTTTGTAGCTTAAAACTTGCGAATACGCAAACGCATATTATATCAGCCTTGGTACACTGGATTTTAGCTCAACAAAACTGTTTTTTGTCATCGTGAACAGTTTTTTTATTTAAAATAAGATCAGCGTTCTCATTTCTGTTAATCCAAATATTCTATATTTGGGGCAAGTATGATTTGCTAACGCCTAAAAGATTGAACTGAAATGTCAATTACAATTAAAATTTAATTGAGCAACTGAAATGCAAATTACAAACAAAAGTTACAATTTGAAATTTGAATTCGAAACTTTTTCGAAATTTTGAAATTTTTCTGTAAGAATAAAAACGTTTTTGCAGCGTCATTGTATGATGAGAGGTCCGCTGTGCCAAACTTTACTGTAATTCATCCATCACATGTATAAATATTTTTACTCTAAACTTGTCTCTTGGCTCAAGGTTATCATATAAAGCATTACCTTCTTGTAATAAATATATAGTAAAGACAAAAAATTTTCCTTTGCTTCTTTTTTCAAAATGAATGAAAATATTTCTGAAACCTTTAACAAAATCCAAAAAAGAAGCGGACTGTTTATATTGTCCATTCATACATACTGATTTAAACCAGAAATTTACATTCATCTAAACTAATTTAAACCAGAAAGTAATTATACAAATAAAACAAAAGTATAAATTTTAACTCTTCTATTTTGTTTAAAATCTATATGGATTGATTTCTGGTTTTGCCTTTTACTGTAGCTATATATAACTGTAATGTAACATCTGTAATGTGTTAACTTTTAATGTAACTACCAAGTAATAGTACTCACTTGAAGCGTTTGAATGTGCTTCCCATTTAGTCTTTGACAAAGGTTTTAAAACATTTGAATTATCTTCAAAAATGATAAAAGTACTGTCCTTTTATGCGTAGATAATGATATCTGCATGGCTACCTACCTCTAGGAAAGTTACCAAATGTTCAATAGAGAGCTATTATGCTGGTAAAACACACATTACAATAACTATAAGCTGATTAATAAAGGAGTAAAATTTATAGATAAACTGATGTGCAGTTTTTAAATATGCACAAAGACTCTTACTTTATGTGTCAAAGTTTGCATTAATTCATTGCATATTGTTTTAGAACGATAAGATGTGACACTTGATCCTTTATTTTCAAACTTTTTTATATGGTTTTAAAAAATAATTAAAATTTCTCCATAAGTTTGAGTACACCAAATTTAATTTTGTTGTGAAAAGAAAGAAGTATTTCTTTGTCTCCTCTGAAAGATAAACCACATTCTGCCATATTAATTAATATTGCTACAGCACATCCAGAAACATTTTTACAGTACTTCTTAATATTTATTTGTTCAGCTAATTAGCAGTTAATTATTGAGTCATTCTTTAAAATATTTTTTACAATTACCCAGTTTGGGATAAAACAATCTTTTTAAACAATATCTGTTTTCGTTTTCAAAAAGTATCTACAATTTTTCAAATGAGCTGTTTGTGTGCTGACATTTTGATGGATCATTTTCTATCCAGTGTAATATCTCATCATTACTTAAATTACTTCATAACCCAATATGATTCTGTTATTTTTTTTAATGCCTGGTTTATAAATTATAACATTTACTTCTTTATTGGCTGAGGTAAATTCTATATAACTAGATGCACCTGGTTCTGTATTAGAACTAAAATGAACATCCTGTGACTGACTCATTTTATTAGAGACTTTTGATTCTACCGGTCTCTTATATGTCTTTGCCATGAAACTTTCTAATTTTGTTAACTTTACAACTCTTTTTCAGTTTTTTTCTTTTTATTCCCTTTTAAGCCCCACTATTTTTTAAAGGGCAATTTTTAAAGGCACCCTTAAGAGATAGGGGGAAAAAACTATAGTCTGTTTAACTTATAGCTAAATCTAACGCTGTATTCAAAGCTGTGGAAAAATAGCGCAGCTTTAACAGAACCAAGCGCCTGTCTATCATTTTTTAAATATTCAACGTTCCCCGTATTAAAGTTATAAAATTAAAGTTTAATGTGCTCTAAGAAATATCTAAATAGTAGAAATATCTTATTATTATTGTTTTTTAAACAAAAAATAAATTACAAAGAGCTGTTTACATCACATAAAGATAATATATAAAACAGAGAGGGGCTCAAAGAACTTATGTATAACTAATGTCACTAAAATTTATTCTTAGAGCACTATGAGATTATTATGATGCTGTTATATTAAAAAGATCTTACATCCTAGAACGGTGTGAGATGAAGCCAGTAAAAAATGTTTGCACACATTTGTTCATTTAAACTTGATGGTTATATTACAACCTCAAAAATATTCAATAAATCTTAAATCTGGCTAACTCTATATACATAGTTAATAAATACATTCCAGATAAAAATATATTGAAGATTGATTGCTAGTGTTGCTTTTCTTTTTGCAAAGAAAATGCAATCTAAAAGTTTTTGCAATCTAAAAAATAAAACGCTTTTCATTTTCCTCATCAAATCATAGAAAAAAAAAAAGAATATAGATTGATAAAAGATATTCCTTGAAAAAATACTTTTTTATAATTCGAATAATAACATCTGTAAAAAATTGATCAAAAGATTACAAAATAGCTAAGGTTTGTGTCGTAAAAGACCAAAGACTATTTTAACGTTATAAATAGATGTACGTTAATCCTTGATTAGACCCACCTAAATTTTGATTGAAAGTCATATTAAATTTTATTCAAAAGTTCATAAATAATTGATATTGTAACAAATAATAAGAAAAATATTGCATTACAATAAAGACATCGTTGGAAATATATAAAATTCAAGAAAACCCAATATATTTTATGTAAAGAAGTAGCAGAGTATCTTAATGCAAATTAATTTTATAATTTTGTCTTACAAATTTATGCAAATAATTTATGCAAACAATTTATGCAAATAATTAGCATAAGGTTGAACTTATTTTAAAGATTCAAATAAGGACTTTAAGTTGATTATTAAATCAAACCAGTTTTTCAGCTTCTAACTATTCGTTTATCTTGAAATAAGCTTGTATTCTAGTGTTGTCTTATTAAAAACTTTTTTATTGTAGTTAATTACAACTTTTTGTTACTAGCAACTGTATGCATTGTTCTCACATTTAGGGTTAAGAGAAAAAACCTTTTTGGGATATTATTGTTCACAGGCTCCGATAACCACAATATTTTTCAAAACATTTTCATTTGATACAAGAATAAACATACTTAATTTTGGAACTTGCACAATTCCTCAAGGTGTAATATCTGATACATCAGATATTACACTGATATATATATAT